CCACTGATGCTAGAATTGAAATCCACCTTGTACATGTAGTATTGCCATTACTGAAGTCAAACCTGTAAAATGACTATCAATAACTCTTACAGAGGCTACTCTGGCAAAGTGGTCAGCAAACTGTGGTCTGCTGCCTGTTTGTATATGGCCCATAAACTAAAAATAAGAATAGGATTTTACTTTATTTTTGGGGATACTGGGGTTTGAACTCAGGTCCTTATGCTTGCTAGGCAGGCATTCTACCACTTGAGCCACTCTGCCAGCCCAAGAAGAGGATTTTATGTAGGAAAACTGCATGACATTCAAATTTCAATATCCATAAAGTTTTGTTTTGTTTTTCGGTGGGAACTTAGGACTTTGCAATTGCAAAGCAGGCACTCTACCATTTGAGCCACACCTTTAGTCCATTTTGCTCTGTTATTTTTGAGATGGGGAGGGGGTTTTGCAAACAATTTGCCCAGGCTGGCTTCGAACCTCTATCCTCCAGATCTTAGCCTCCCAATTAGCTAGAATTACAGGTGTGAGCCACTGGCACCCAGCTTTTTCTTTTTTTTTCAATGGTACTGGGGATTGAACTGTACTGTACTACTTGAGCCATACCCCAGCTCTTTTGTTTGTTTTGTTTTTGAGATAAGAGTTTCACTAGATTGGCCTCCAACTTGTGATGCTCCTGCTTCCATCTCCTAAGCAGCTGGGATTTCAGGCATGTGCCACCACACCCAGCTCAATATTCATAGAGCTTTATTAGAACACCATCATGATTGTTCATTTATGGACTATATACACAATGGAGTTTTACCAGCCATAAGGAATAATGGCAACATGTGATTTGAAAGGAAATGGATGCAATTGGAGGGCATCATGTTAAGTAAGCCAGGCTCAGAAAGACAAAGGCCACGTTTTCTCAGACATAGAAGATAGATCCAAAGACAAACACACTGAAACAAACATGATCATAAACAAACTTACACGTAGAACAGTTTGTAATAGTGGAACCACTCTGGAACTTGGGGAAGGAAAAGAGAATGATAGAGCATCAACAGTATCGTAAAACATAACATCTCTGCAGGTAGAGGACGTAGGATATGTTTTGAAAGCTGTTGAAAAACGGGGAGGGGACGAATAGCCAAGGCAATACTCAGTCAAAAGAACAATGCTGGAGGTATCACAATACCTGACTTCAAACTATATTACAAAGCAATAACAATAAAAACAGCATGGTACTGGCACAAAAACAGACATGAAGACCAGTGGAACAGAATAGAGGATCCAGATATGAAGCCACACAACTATAAGCAACTTATCTTTGACAAAGGAGCTAAAAATATACGATGGAGAAATAGCAGCCTCTTCAACAAAAACTGCTGGGAAAACTGGTTAGCAGTCTGCAAAAAACTGAAACTAGATCCATGTTTATCACCCTATACCAAGATTAACTCAAAATGGATCAAGGATCTTAATATCAGACCCCAAACTCTTAAGTTGATACAAGAAAGAGTAGGAAATACTCTGGAGTTAGTAGGTATAGGTAAGAACTTTCTCAATGAAATCCCAGCAGCACAGCAACTAAGAGATAGTATAGATAAATGGGACCTCATAAAACTAAAAAGCTTCTGTTCATCAAAAGAAATGGTCTCTAAACTGAAGAGAACACCCACAGAGTGGGAGAAAATATTTGCCAACTATACATCAGACAAAGGACTGATAACCAGAATATACAGGGAACTTAAAAAACTAAATTCTCCCATCACTAATGAACCAATAAAGAAATGGGCACGTGAACTAAACAGAACTTTCTCAAAAGAAGAAATTCAAATGGCCAAAAAACACATGAAAAAATGCTCACCATCTCTAGCAATAAAGGAAATGCAAATTAAAACCACGCTAAGATTCCACCTCACGCCTGTTAGAATAGCCATCATCAGCAACACCACCAACAACAGGTGTTGGCGAGGATGCGGGGAAAAAGGAACCCTCTTACACTGTTGGTGGGAATGTAGACTAGTACAACCACTCTGGAAAAAAATTTGGAGGCTACTTAAAAAGCTGGACATCGATCTACCATTTGATCCAGCAATACCACTCTTGGGGATATACCCAAAAGACTGTGACACAGGTTACTCCAGAGGCACCTGCACACCCATGTTTATTGCGGCACTATTCACAATAGCCAAGTTATGGAAACAGCCAAGATGCCCCACCACTGACGAATGGATTAAGAAAATGTGGTATCTATACACAATGGAATTTTATGCAGCCATGAAGAAGAACGAAATGTTATCATTCGCTGGTAAATGGATGGAATTGGAGAACATCATTCTGAGTGAGGTTAGCCTGGCTCAAAAACCAAAAATCGTATGTTCTCCCTCATATGTGGACATTAGATCAAGGGCAAACACAACAAGGGGATTGGACTATGAGCACATGATAAAAGTGAGAGCACACAAGGGAGGGGTGAGGATAGGTAAGACACCTAAAAAACTAGCTAGCATTTGTTGCCCTTAACACAGAGAAACTAAAGCAGATACCTTAAAGCAACTGAGGCCAATAGGAAAAGGGGAACAGGTACTAGAGAAAAGGTTAGATCAAAAAGAATTAACCTAGAAGGTAACACCCACGCACAGGAAATCAATGTGAGTCAATGCCCTGTATAGCTATCCTTATCTCAACCAGCAAAAACCCTTGTTCCTTCCTATTATTGCTTATACTCTCTCTACAACAAAATTAGAAATAAGGGCAAAATAGTTTCTGCTGGGTATTGAGGGAGGGGGAGAGGGAGGGGGCGGAGTGGGTGGTAAGGGAGGGGGTGGGGGCAGGGGGGAGAAATGAACCAAGCCTTGTATGCACATATGAATAATAAAAATGAAAAAAAAAACAGGGAGGGGGGCTGGGAGGTAAAGGGGTAAAGGAGAGTAATGGAAGGGGTTGAACTGACCAAAAGTAAAGTATACTCACAGCAGGGATACACTGAGAAACCCTTTTGAACATCAATTTAGGTATTAATAACTAAAGATAGGGCTGTAAAATAGGTGCAGTGCTGGGAGTGGGGTAACGGAATGGGACTGGTAAACGAAGGAGATTAAGGTGAAGGAATATGGTTAATGGAGTTCATATACAAAATAGAACAAATAAACTTCTTGTAATAATTTTAGGTGGGCGAGGGGGGAGAGATGGTGGGGATGATCTAACCAAGGTGCAATATAAGCCTATATGGAAATGTCACAATGAATTCCCCCCGTACAACAAACATATTCTAACTTAAAAAGAAATAGCAAGAATTGGGTAGATAGCAGAGACAGTATGTCTCACAAAGTCTAAAATATTTACTATCTGGCCCTTTACAGGAAAAGTTTGCCAAGCCCTAGTTTAGTAAGTTGCTATAGCAGGTAACTTGATGATGAGTCTTAGAAAATCAGTACCTTTTGCTAAGTATTTTATGAGTGAAAACCACTGAAAGCATCTGACTTAGTAAGTGAAATGACTTCATAGACTTCAGTACCGTCACAGCACAGTTCACTTCAAATGCTTTGAGTGCTATGAGAAATCTATTAGGGTCTCAAAGTACATGATATGTTGAGTATTTTTTCCTGTTTTATCTACCAATGTTTTTTTAAACTCTTAACTATTCTCTGAAGGTAGTGAAATCTGTGCCAAGATGTAATTCACCTATTTTAGTGTGACCCCAAAATTAATTGTGTTCACTCCCTAGCTACTTCTGGTGCACCAGTTTGAGCAGTTACCTGAATGTGCTACTGATTAACCGCTTGCTAACTGGGACAGTGTTTCCCAACACTGGGTCTCAGAAAGACCTCCAAAACACTTTGATGGAGATGGGGCTTTCCCTAGACCTAGACTACTTAACGCAAAGCTGGATCCGTGTACACGTACCACTCATTCCCATGAGTACAGCGCCGTCCCTCTGGCTGGTAGAGTGGCTCAAGTGGGAGAGCATCTGCCTAGCAAGGGTGGGGCCTGGAGTTCAGGCCCCAATGCCACACACACACACACACACACACACACACACACACATGAAACAAAAGCCTGCCCTCTGCCTTCCTCATTGAGTTCAGAAAACTCAGGTTTTCTTTTGGAGTCCAGCATGAGTAGTTTTCTGGGTCTTTATAGATAAAAACTTTGAAATAGAAAGTAGAGTTTTAGAAAAGGATAAAGAACCTCAACCCTCCTCACCCACCCCATACATTTACAGAGAGAAAACAGCAGTGCTGACCGAATACTCAGTCCCTAGAATATTCATTTATGGCTTCTTGGAGGATTGACTGTTGTAGATGAAAGACCTTGGGACATGGGATGGCACAGTATCTTAGTGTAGTTCTACTTCTTCCATTGTTCCTGTCCTCCCCTCCTATGTGCATGCATACATGCTTTGTGTGTGTGCGTGTGATACTGGGGCTTGAACTCAGGTCCTATGCCTCAAGCCAATCCACCAGCCTTTTTTTTTTTTTGAAGCTAGGGACTCAAACTATTTGCCTGGAGCTGGCTTTGAACCATGATCCTCCTGATCTCTGCCTCTGTGTAGATAAGATTACAGCTGTGAGCCACCAGCACCTGGCTCTTGCGTTTTTTTTTTGTTTTTAACTGAAGTAAATTTCATTAGCAAACTTTTAATTAAGCCAAACTCTTTAAAATGTGGCATAAATGAAAGTTGTAAAGGACTCTCAATAGCTAACTGTTCATTATGATAGCAATGTCATAAACTTACACGATGGTAAGTGCCCTTAAAATGAGTGTCAAGGGCTTTTAGAAACTGGCAAATCAAATCCAACTCTGCAGCCTCCTGTAGGTACAGTTTGTAATAAAGTTAAGTTTTATGTAGCCCATGCTGGCCTTGAACTCAAGATCTTGCCTCAGCCTCCTGAGTGCTGGGATTACAGACACGTACCACCATGCCTGACTTGCATTAAAGTTTTTCAAAATTAAGTTTTTCTTAGACTTTGTAAGAAAAAAGATAACACACGAAAAAAACTGTACTGAAAGTGCCCTATTTAAGTCAACTTAAAATTTTTATTGGCTGATAGACATCTGCCACGTATCTTTCTGTCATCATCCTGCATTCTTGCCATCCAAGTACTAAACCCAAACCAACCCTGTTTATGGCTTCCAAGAGCGGACGATTGCGGGGGGAGGGGAGAGGGTTCTGGGTGGTATGGCTTGTAGACCATCCATCCTGCTATTCCTGAGTTTAATTTGCAACAGGAAGCAGAGACCAAAAAGTATTCCTTAGGTTCTCAACAAAACTTAAAGACATGGGGAAAATATGCTTACAGAGAAAATAAAACTTGTTTCTTAGTGAAGAGAGGTTTTCTTGTACATATTTCAAAATAGCTTTGTTTTCCATTTAAGAACTGTGGGAAACACCTGTTTACAGAGTTTGGGAGGATACCCCTTCTTGCCACGTATGGTCTTCCAGGTTCTTTTGGGCCCAGCCGCTGAGATGCCCTCCAGGGTCCTTGCTCTGTAAATCTGTGCTGACTGGCAGGGTCTTCCCTCAGCTTTCCGACATCTTATCAAGGGTCAGCAGCGGGGCAAGAATTCTTGCCCGGTTAGTTTCCACAATGCAGCCATTTAACACCATCTCATCCAGAATGATGTGTACTTTATCCAAATTAAACATTATCTAGAGCCCTATTAAGGAAATTAGCTTTACAAGTATGAGAAATATGAAGGTTTCAGTAGATAACTTACGGCTTAGCCTGGAATTTTTCCAGTGTAAATAAGCCTAAGCATGAGAAGGGCTTGTTTGTTTGTTTTTCCTTATTTTTATTAGGATACATTCACTGTACAGGGGGAGTTTATTGTGCCAATTCCCAATACATTGGTTAGCTCCTCCCCTTCCCCTTCTCCCTCCCCCCCACTTAAAGCAACTGCAAGAGGTTCCATCTATTTCATGTATGTATATGAAGCCCACCAACCATATTCCCTCACCCTCATCTCCTCTGTTCACCCTCCCATACGTACCCCCACACATACACTATACCTGTTTTATAGTCCTGTCTTTTCATTTTTAATGAGAATTTTTTTGTAGGGAATTCCTAAAATGAAAATTGTATTTGTATTAGACATTATTACTTCCATGTACACATCCACATGTACTTTCACTGTGGTTAACTAACAGAATAGCAGCTTTGTTTTAAAACCACACAGCACTGGGATCAAACCTAGAGCCATGCAAGTACTGGGCAAGTGCAAAACAGTCACCATTTTTTAGTCAAAGTGAGAGTCTAATAAAGGAAGAGAACGAAGCAAGTGACATTTTGGCAAGACTGGTCAGGGAACAGGGAACAATGTTGTCTTCCATATAAGAACAGTAACAACAATAGATTTGAATACTTACTATCTTTCAGGTGAGTACTGAGTGCTTGCCATGTGTAATTCAGTCTTTTACAACTGTCTGATGTACATGTTACTTTTTGGGGGCTGGGGGGCAGTACTGGGGTTTGAACTCGGTCTTGTGCTTGCTGGGCAGGCACTCTACCAGTTGAGCCACAGTACCAGTGCTACATGTTACATATCACTTAACCCAGGAGGAAACAGCTTAAAGCCACAGGCCAAAGTCACAGGACTAGGAAATGCCAGAGCTGGAGTTTAAGCCCCAAAATTTGGGTTTGAGGGCTTTGCTTGGCCATGCTTTTAAAAGGAGCCTGAGGCTGCTCCCAAAACTAAGCCTTTCCTTCCAAAGCTAAGCCTTTCAGCTCTCTTCTCTGTCAAACTGAAGGAAAAATATTCATGAGGAGAAATGAATACAGAAGGCAATGACTGCTCGTTAAACTCCCAAGATCAAAGCTCTGAATTTCTCTTATAAATGGGAGAGTTCTCAGCAATTCTTTGTGAATTACACAGCCACTTTCTCTTACTAGTGTTGTTATTGGGAAAGGCAGTCCTGTGCATAGGGGAAGAAGAAACTAACAGATAATAATAGCTAGCAAATTAGAAAGAGCCAAATTCTCCCCTCAAGAACCCCTTAATTTGAGTACCTCAGTTTTCCTTTGTGAAAGGAGAAGAGGGGAACCGGAATGAGATGGTGGCAATGACTGAACATTTCTGAGTTTTACACTTTAAGATCTGAAGTTTCTATCTCTAAAGAGGTCTGTTTAAAAAAAAAAACAAACAAACAACAGTTTGTTTCCAGTAGACAAATTTCATTCAGCAAATAGGTGGTTAAATCCACCAAGGGAGTTCATAATTAATCTTTGTAAAGCAAATTATTACCACCTGACTTTCAATAATTCCTGGTGTTCAAAGACTATATTGTATTTGTTCAGCGAAGTACATTTATAGAGAATAGGACAACCTGTGAATGGCTTGTAAGCTTCCATTAGACTCTGTGTTACCATCTCATTAAGCTCTGTGCAAACAGAGCTTAATAAACTGTTTTTTTCAGGAGCCAATGGGAACTGACCTTAAATGAACCCCCCCAAAAAAAAGAGCTTTCCTCTGATACACCTATTAATGTCTTCCAATTATATAGATGATTGCCTTGTCCCATGGCCAAACTGGGACTGGAATGAATGCTAGGCCCTGACTCAAAGCCAGAACTCACAGACTGAGACAAGGTAGGGATGACAGCCAGGTGACTAGGAAGGCAAAGCTGAGTGGAATAGGTGGCTCTGTGAAGACAAGCTTACAGAAGGCCTGCTGTACCCTGTACTCACCAACGGCAATGAGGCCTATACATTAGCCTGTGAAAATGTCCACTTCACCAAGGTTTTCTCTGCAGTAGAAGGAATTCTTAATTTCAATCTATTGAATTCCTTCAAGGATCAGGCTGCTCTGTGGACTGTTCCTCTCTGGCAGGCATATGACATGCAGTTCAGATGTTCTCTGACCTGAGCAACCGCCCAATTGTTTTGAAATTCAGATCAGAATTTACTGCTGAATCACACCAACCACTGACATCCTCACACTGCCAGGACAAGGTCCTTCAGCAAGTATGAATTTCCCAACATCCTAGAAACATGAGATAGTTACTCTGTGAGGTCACTCTGTACTGTGGGCATGTGACTGCCTGACCATCTGTGTATCTGGCACTGTATGGGGAAACCACAGACCAATGCCAGTAAGAGGCAAAGGCCTGAAAGCTGATTTCCCCCTGGAATCATGTGACTCCTTTAAAATAAGAATCCAGCTGTTGTTCATATCTTGATTTGGTTTATGAGCAACTTGTACACCCTGGTGAAGGCAAGATTAATGATATCTGGGCCAAATTCCAGGTGAGCAGGGACCAAAAAAATACCCTATATGCCAAGCCCCATGGCAATAAACAGGCAAACAGATGTGACATTTAGAGTAGGAGGAAGCAAGAAAGAACTAGGCTGTGGGTCTCCTAATGTTGTCAGCTGAGAATGAGTACTGAAAGAACTTAACCTTAAGTCCATATGTAACGTGATTGACCTTAAAGACCCTTAAAGGAACTTGTTTCCTTCATGGGCCTCAAGAAGCTGACAAGAACTACAAATAACTTCCCAAGGAGCAGGTTTACTCAAGTCCCTCCTTCTCTCAACCTTGACATCTGCAAACCTCTCTGAATTTCTATGTGCTGTAGAGTGGAGAACATAGGCTCCTATGAGGCTCATGCCCCTAGAAATCAATTTGCTAATTTAAAAGTGATTGAAATGTCTATGGGCCCTACACTGGAATATTGACCTCTGGATCATAAAACACTCTTCCAGCATGGTACTTTGACACCAATGTGGTGAGCTAGTTTTTACTAAGTGAGAAAACTGAGCAGCACAGATTCAAAAGGAACCTTGAAAGCAATTGCAGGGCAGAGCCCAGCCTAGAAAGTAAAATTGCTGACTCTAGACATTGCTCTCTGCTCCCTGGATTTCTTACTTGATTTTATTTTTAAAGACTCAAGCTATACAAAGTTATTTAATACAATAACTAGGTGGGAAAAAGTTGTCTCTCAGTATTTATACTTTTGATTCAATTTCCCAAGAAATTAGAAAAGCTGGGTTCACATTTCCCGCAAAGCATGGAATGGTGCACAGGCCCCGACACTCATGTTTGGGCTTCCTGTTTTCTCATCAATGAGGCCATTGAAAGTGTATCTTTTTTATTTTTTATTCATTTATTCACATGTGTGTACACTGTTTGGATCGTTTCTCCCTAAAGTGTATCTTTTTTTAAAGGTATGTTTTCCTTAAAGACCCATTCATCTTCTGAGAACAACAGGCCACCCAAATGTCATTTTGCTTAAAGTTTACATAAAATTAAAAAAGTCAGCACTGAGTCAAATGAGCCTGCTGTCACTATTTTTATTCACTGATTCACTTATATGGGGGATCAAATCTAGGGCCTCACACATGTTAAACAGGACGTTCTACCACTTGAGCCACACCCCCAGCCTTTTTTGCTCTAGATATTTTTCAGATAGGGTCTCGAATTTATGCCCGACCATGATCCTCCTATTTACGCTTTCTGAAACGCTGGAAGGACAAGAGTGTCCAGCTTTTTATTGGTTGAAATAGGTCTTGCAAACCAAGATCCTCCTGATCTCCACCTCTTTGTTAGCTAGGATTATAGGTGTCAACCATTGTGCCGTTATTTTTTTTCAATTTTTTGAGACAGGGTCTTACTACTGGTAGTAACTACCAGAACTGGTAGTTCTACCAGGCTGAACTTGAACTCTCAATCTTCCTGCCTCAGCCTCCTGAATGTGTATGTTACAGCCATGTATCAACATTCCTAGCTCTCTAAAGAGGTTTAGGCCTACTGTGTATTTGTGTGGGAGAGGACACAGAGCATCTGTAATTCGGGGGAGGGGGCGGCTAGCCAGCTCCCTGCTTCTCTTCCCCTATGTGCATGTGACACATCGCAGCTACCCTCCTTGCCTACCTATTTACTACTTCTCCCCTAGGCCTGAGTATGGGTGGAGGAAGGCCTCCACAGGCCCTACCAACAGACTCTGGGATGTCTGGGCACCCTGTAAATTCTGGGGGTCCAGGACACTAGAGGATGTCAAGAAGCAGATTGGGAGGACTGCAGGCTCTGAGTAGGCGTCCTTGCCCCACAGAGAAGGGAGATGCTGAAACAGTGGCAGCATGAGGTCCTCTAAAAGTGCAGGACCCAAGAAAGAGACCCTGGGTGTCAAGATCTGAAGGCAGCACCACTGCATTCTGTTTGTGCCAAGGTAAGTTGGTCTTTCAGCCTATTTATTTATGTGTTTGCTTATTTTTGTGGTACTGGGGTTTAAACTCAGGGCCTCACACTTGCTAGGCAGGCACTCTTGTCATTTGAGCCAATCCACCAGTCTTTTTTGGGTACTTTCAACATAAAGTCTTGTGAACTCTTTGCCCAGCTGGCTTCGAACCATTATCCTCTTGAGTAGGTAAGGATTACAGATGTGTGCTACCAGCGCCTGGCTTTTCAGCCTCTTTAAAGTTAAAAAATACCACAAAGGCTGTTGGGGTCCACTGATTTGAAGAGGACTTGGTCCTTGCCTCCCACGACTTAGCAGATGGGGCTGGAGACAGCTTCTTTGAATTTTGAGTTGTCTGGAGAACAGTAAGCCCTCTGAAACCCCAAAGCTAGGCACATTTGGGGAAGCACATCAATTGGTTCCCTAAAAACAATTTTAGTTCACGGAATTTGAAGTCTTAACTAAGTCTACCAAGCTATGTGATGGGGCAAACTTTCCCTACAGAAACAGGCCTCGTGAGTCCTTAGGCACCAGTTCAGCCCAGCAGGGGGAGGGGGACAAGAAATGTGCACAGAGCTTACTTTTAGCAGGTGAATGATTTAGGTCACCAATGTGCTTGGTCCCAAAGGGACAGCCCGCCCCTTCTGTCACCACTGCACCAGAGGGTTCCACTTACTGCAATGGAAGGGATTCAACAAGCCAGAATTTCTGTCCTGATTTCTTGTGCTTAGGTCATTTCATTTTAAATCCCATCTGTCTTGCTCTGTAATGTAAATCTTACTAGAAGTAGAACAAGCCCATACGAGGGAGAAATATAAATGGTGCACGTCCTTCCTCAAAGTCTAAATCTGCCGGCTCTGAAGAACTTCTCCATCCTCGAAAGGCACCAGAGTAGAAAGCTGCTGGAGAAAAGGACTCTAGCTGGGGGCTTCTTGGGAATTTCATGAAGTTTTAAATTCCCTTTCAGGTTGCTGTATCCAAACCAAGCCTTTAATCATGTCCACTCCCTGGGAGCTGAAGCCTGAGCAAACACAGACTATGTGCTCAGTGTTGGCAGAAGCAGCTCCGGGGTGCAATTGTGGTAGCTGCTATCTCCAACCTCTCGAGCCTAAGGACACTATCTTGGCAGTGCAGACCTCCAGAGTTGTGGCTGCTCCAGCAGGTCTTGGCTCCATGCCGCAGGACGGTGAGACAGTGTGTGGCCCTGCCCAGAGGAGCAGGAGACAGCAACTAGGCCTCTAAAGGACCCCCACCTCACTGCTCCGTAACTGGTCTGCAGAGGTCTTCCTGGACAGGGGCAGAACTATGTATGAGCAAGAGGAGGATCATGGGTTTTGAATTCGTTTTGTTTCTTTTCTTGGTAGCTACGGTTATATCTTAAGATATCTTAAGATTATCTTAAGATAATCTCTTAAGAGCATCAGTAGAAGAGAGGTACCCCATAATAGTAAACATGTGAGTTGGTCTGAAAGCAGGTAAAATGAAGGGAAAAGGTACAAATTGTGTGTCTTGCTATGGAGATTAAGTTGAAACCAAAATGCTGGCAATCATAACATAGACCTACGCTACCTGAAGAGGGGTGCAAAGTCACACACATCCTTTCTACTTCCAACACGTAAATAAATAAATGAATAAATAAATGTGTCAACACAGGACACATCAACCACACAACTAATTTGCACCCTCTTCATCTGATTCACATGAATTCTCTGGCTATTTGGATTTGTGAGACTCTCTTCCTGCTGTCGATGCAGGGTTGCTCAGCTCAGTTCCCTGGAGTTCTGGCAAGATCCCACATTCAGGCTGTGAGAGCATTAAAGAGGTCCTGGTCTAAATCTCTCGCTCGGAAACAAGGACTTCATGGGCTCTGTGCAATAGACACAGCCAGTCAGGGGCAAGCCCAAAAGTGAACCTTCAATTTCGGTGCTCCCAGCAAAGCGCCTATTGTACAAGGAGGAATAAAGATTTATTTGGAATTTCTTACAATGGCTAAATTAAGCTGGGCGCCAGTGGCTCACACCTAAATTAAGCTGGGCGCCAGTGGCTCACACCTGGAATCCCAGCTTCTTGGGAGGCAGATATCAGGAGGATTGCATTCAAAGCCAGTCTGGGTAAATAGTTTTTGAGACCCTATCTTGAAAATACCCAACACAAAAAAGGGCTGGCAAGTGGCTCAAGTGGTACAGCAATCGTGAGGCCCCGAGTTCAAAACTCCAGTACTGACAAAAAAGAAAAAAAAAGGCCACGTTAAGATAGAATGTTACATGCTGAATAAAAATACCAGATTGTTATGCTGCCTGGTTTTAGGTGTCTTAGGTCAAAGGGACCACAGATGCAGGACACAAACCACTAGAGGGTGCTCACTTTCCCCAGTTAACGTAAAGAGGCTTCTAAACCCTGGCCTGCAAATGAGTTTGATCAAGATGAAAGTGATTTCCTTCAGCAGTAACAGTGACTGGCCATTCCTCCAGAACAGTAAGGTGATGTAAATATACTGGCTCTTGGTATAGATGTTTAATTAATACACACACCATATACATACAAAGATATGTATGCACTAGAAATAAACACATTTGTTATAATTCATGTGTGTGACATGCAAAATACATATAAATAAACATTTGTCATAGTTAATGTAACTATTTTACATTCAAGCCTGAGGTGTTCTCAAAAGATTTATCACTTTTAAGGGGTAGGCAGATTTTTGAAGTAAAAAATTAACTTACAAGTCAATGTGCCCCAAGCACTTGCACAATGCTCGTGGGCTCCGGTGAAACCTGCAGGCAGACTGTGCTTCTTGTTGGGGTCCTCAGGCACTCTTGATGCTAAACAGTGCTGGCGACTGAGCCTAGGGCCCCAAACATGCTATGCACGGGCTCTACCACTTCAGCTATGTTCCCAGTCCAGCACTCTTGATTTAAAAGAGAGAAAGAAAAGAACTTTCTCTGTTGCAAAAGAAAACAAATACAAGCCAGGCCTTCTTCTACTCATGAGAGGGATTTCTGGAGATTTATACCTAGATCTCTGGAAATCCAATCTCTCTGAGAAGAACACTTTGTGGCTGTTAAATAAATTTTATACCAATTTTAAACAAGCCGATTTCAAATACCTAAAAGAAATTAAGCTGGTGGAGGGGCTCAAATGGCAGAGCGTCTGCCTAGCAAGTGCAAGACCCTGAGTTCAAACCCCAGTACTGCCAAGAAAAAAATAAGTGGCCCGGTGCCAGTGGCTCATGCCTGTAATCCAAGACTTAGGAGGCAGAGATCAGAAAGATCAAGGTTCAAAGCCAGACCTGGCAAATAGTTCATGAGACCCTATCTTGAAAAAACCGGGCTGAAGAAATGGCTCAAGCCATAGAAAACCTGCCTAGCAAGTGTGAGGCCCTGAGTTCAAACCCTAGTACTGCTTAAAAAAAAGGCTAGATTAATATAACCATATAGTTATTACTAACTACAATCTGGAAGAAAGCCAATCTTAAAAAGAATTGTCTCTATAAGCGCTGGTCGGGGAGGCTTGGTGAAAGTGCACTCTGACTACCTTAGCTGCAAATAAACAGTAGGGACTGCCAAGTTGTTTTCCTGCCCCAGGGCACTTACCTGATTAGAACTAGAGAGTGCTTTGCCACATACTGTGGAAAACAATACTGAAAAAGGATACATCAAGTTCAGTCTGGAAAAGAGAAAAAGAATGCACAGGTGAGGAGATCCTTGCACAGGACGACACTCAGACACTCAGCATAGACAGTGACCACTCTGCTTCCAGAAGCCCCAGTATAGGAAGCCCTGACCTGGGGACTGTGATTAAAAAAAAAAAAATACTGTAACTACAGGAATTTTAGAGGCCAGAAAATAGAGGGAATAATTAATAAACTCAACTTTTACTCATAGACGGTAGGCAATTTGAAAGGTGTATCAGAAACCTGAGCAACGTGCCTTAATGCTTGATTTTACATCACAAGCTTATCCTAAGGAAATAACCAGACAATGGTGTGATGTAAAAGGATACTGAGGACGAGGATGTTTATAACAACAAATCACTGATAATAACTGAAGTATCTGTCAAGGGGGAGTTGGCCAAGTAAATTATAGCACATCAGCAAATGACGATATAGAGAAGTGCTGACATACTGCTGTATAAGCAAGTTAAAAATGGCATAAGGTTGACCCTCTGTATCTACAGGTTCCACGTCCATGAATTTAACCAACTGCAGTGTAAGACACTTGGGAGGGAGCTGTGGCTCAAGCAGTAGAGTGCTTGCTTTGCAAGCATGAAGCCCTGAGTTCTAGCCCCAGTCCCACCAATAAATAAGTAAATATTTAGGAAAAACTGTAGCTGAACTAAATATGTACACTTTTTGACCCTGTCAGTATTCCCTGAACAACAGAGCATAACAACTATTCACAGGGCATTTACGTTGTACATCATATTATGCATGATCTAGAGATGACATGAAGTATACAGGAGGATGTGCACAGGTCACGTGCAAATATACACCATCTTATACCAGGGACTTCAGCATGCAGGGGTTTTGGTGTCCATGAGGGTGTGGGTCCTGGAACCAATCTCGCAGATATCGAGGTGTGACTGTGGACAGCATTACTCTGTGTACATATGTACACAGAGGTAGAGGTGTATAGTTACGTAGATAGGTGACATACACAGCTGAAGGACGTGTACTCAGCAGTAGCCATCACTTATTCCTGGTCCTTCCTCTACCTTAAAAACACGCTGAATTTCTAAAAGTACACTTTTGAGTTCACAGCAAAACTGAAAGGAAGTACAGAGATGGATCTCGTCTTCCCTTCCCCACCCGTGCACAGCTTCACATCAGCACAGAAGGACAGCTGTTACAACTGGTGGGCCTACATGGACCCTACTGTCACACCATGCACAGTTTACACTGGGGTCCACTCTGGTGTTGGGACAGTCTGGAGCCTAGATAATGACATGTATCCAGCATCTCTTTTCTTTCTTTTTATACGCACTTACAGTTTTTTTCAGTGAAGACAGATACTTAGGTCATGAAAAAGCCACAAAGAGAGAATGGTAAACAGAAACACGCTCCCATGCGAGAGCATGTCAGGTTTGTCTGAGGTGGCACAGGGCACCCTGCTTCCCTTCCACCACAGCAACAGCCTCACCTCTTGCCAAACTGCCTGAAGCTCACTGGTTTGGCTTTTGGTTTTGAAAATGGGAAGGAAGCTGAGATACTTCTCTTGGCCTAGTCAGCATGAAATTCATCTATAAATTTAAGATTTGGAAACCCTCTAAGTAAGATAAAAAATAACCCAGAAACAATGGTTAAGACTCACAAACCTAAAAATAAATCTTAGATGACAGGGGACTCTTGGTGAGAGGAACAGAGCCTATTTCCATCCCCACACCCTTCCTCCTTCCTCCTTGTCTTTTTGCTACAATGTGATCCGAAACCAGGTCATCCCAGTACAGTCATTCCTGTGTAATCATCTGGTTTAAATTAAATTCTAATCTTTATTTGTGTGGTTTATGTGGTCACTGACTCTTTCCCTAAAATTATAGCTATAATTCAGCAATGTGCTATTTATTTGCAGTTACTGAATAGAATAATATTTAAAAAAAAATTTTAGCAACAGTGTTTATACCCTCTTTTTACTCTCCCAGGTTTAAAACACTGGTATTTTGGGAAGTCACATTCTTCTTGGCGGGTGTTACCTTAAAGTGGTTAATCATGGTCATTCCGAAGCATAGACTCTGACTTGCAACCAGTCTTTCTGTGTTTTCTTTTGTTTTGCGGTACCGGGGTTTGAACTCAGGGCTTCGTGCTTGCTGGGCAGGCGCTCTACCACTTAAGCCACAACTTCAGCCCGCAACCAGTCTTTCTTAACATGAGCGTGGTCACCACAAGATAAGCAGGAACTAGAGCTCTGCTGTTCAATATGGTAACCACCAACCCAGTGATTTAAATTTAAATTAGTTACAATTAAATTAAATTTAAATTCCTCAGGCTCACTAACCGCACTTCATGTGCTCAAGAGCCACACGTAGCTAGCAATCAACATACATAGACTTTTAAAGCCACTTTCCAGGCCCTCTGTCCCCGCAAGGCCAGTTTCTGTAATGGCCTGACCTCTTGACCCCTTCCAGCTTTGAAGGGCACCAATCCTTTCCTAGACAGATGACCTATCACATTGCAGGCCAGCAGTCATCTTCCCAGCTCCCACTCCTCAATTTGGAAATTGCTGACAGGAAGCCTCATGCATGCTTGAGAATCATCACCTGGAAACTTGGAAAGCTGGTTTTGTTTTATTTTGTTTTGTTTGTGGAGGCCTGAGGTTTGAACTCAAGGCCTCGCACTTGCTAGGCTAGTGTTCTATTTACCACTTACTTGAGCCATTCCTCCAGCCCTTGGAAAGGTTGTTAAGACATAAATTGATGGGCTTCAAACTAGAGTTTCTCATTGAGTGGTCTTGCGGCCCCTCTAGGAACCAGACTTTAAGAACTATACTACAACAATGGAGACAGGCTAGTTGACTGTCCTGTGAAGAGATTGCCAAAATTCATTTCTGGCATTAGTAGTTGGGTGGATGACTTCTGGACATAAGTGCTGGCCTTCTCAGGTTTTATTATTACAGATTCCACTCACTGCCTCAGAGAGAAGCAGCTTGGAAATGCGTCCTTCCTAATTCTTTTATGCAAGAGCAGAATAAACAAAGCTTTGAAAAATAGTTGACTCATGTCACCACTGCTTCTCAAGAATGTCTACCCAAGGCTCAGAAAGGCAAACGGTAGGAGAGCAAGCCATCGTCATCGATTCTTTTAGAAGACAGTTGGGCTTCCAGCTTACTCAAAGCTACAGAATCAAGAAAGCGTGGCAGTGGCATAAGGACAAACATACAAATCAATGGGACAGAACTGCGAATCCAGAGATAAATCCCTACATTGTGGTCAACTGTCATACAACAAGGGTGCCATGGCAATTCACTGGCGGGAAAGCAGAGGACATTCAACAAGTGGTGCTGGGACAGTTAGGTGTCTACATGCAAAAAAGAATGACTCACGATATACACAAAGGTAATTCAAAATGAATCAAAGACCTACATTTAGGAGCTAGACTAGAAAACTCTACAAAGAAATGCAGGAGCTAAGCTAAAAGGCCTTTTCAGGCATCAGGCCTAAAACATCAGCAAGAGAAAGCATAGATAAATTGGCTTTCACCAAGGTGAAAAAATATTGTCCTTCAAACAACATCATCAAGAAACCGAAAAGAAAATCACAGAATGGGAGAAAATTCTTCCTAATCATATATCTGATAAGAGACATTATTCAGAATATATAAAGAACTCTTGCAACTTAACAATAAAAAGACTAGTCAGGCAGTGGTGACTCATGCCTGTAATCCTAGCTCTTTGGGAGGCTGAGATGGGAAGGATTGTGGTTTGAGGTCATTCCAAACAAAAACTTTCCAAGACCCCATCTCAACAAATATCTGGGTGTGATAACATGTACCTGTAATTCCAGAGATGGTGGAAAATGTTAAATAGGAGATCGTGGTCCAGGCCACTCTGGGAAAAAAGGAAGACTCCATCTCCAAAGTAACCAGAGCAAAAAGAACTAAAGATGTGGATCAAGGGGTACAGCACCTATCTAGCAAGCACAAAGCCCTGAGTTTAAATCCTAGTACTGCCAAAAATAAGAAAAGAAATGGGCAAAGAATTAAGCAGACATTTTTCCAAATAAGATATATGAATAGCCATGCCAGGTGCTGGTGGCTCATGCCTGTAATCCTAGCTACTAGGAGGCAGAGATCAGGAGGATCATGGTTTGAACGCCTATGGTTTGTGAGACCCTATGCTGAAAAAACCCTTTACAAAAAAGGGCTGGTGGAGTGGCTCAAGGTGTAGGCCCTGAGTTCAAACTCCAGTATGGCAAAAAAAAAAAAAGATATATGAATATCCAATAATTACGTGACAAGATACTCAACATCTATGCATTAGTGAAATGAAATCAAAACGACAATCTAACCGCCTCTACTTACTTCACACCACTAGGAAGGCTGTAATCAAAAAGATAATAAATCGTATTGAGGATGTGGAGAAATTAGAACACTCGCACACTGATGGTGGGAATTTAAATAAGGCAGACACTGAAAAAGTTTGGCAGTTCACCAAAACGTTGAATGTGGAGCCAGTGTAATGACCCAGCAATTCTACTCCTATGTATACACCCAAGAGAACGGAAAAATAAATGGTTCTGACAAAGACGTGGACGAATATGTTCATAGCAGTATTACGCGTGACAGTCAGAAAGTGGAAGTAACTCAAATGCCCACCACCTGATCTGTGGATACAGAACACGGAATACCAGTTAGCAGCAAGGAAGTACTGAAACACGCTATAACATGGATCTTGAAAACATGCTACGTGAAAGACACAAGCCAGAAAGACCACACATTGTACAATTCGATTTAGCTGAGATGTCTACAACAAAGCCATCCATAGAGACGAGGTAGATTAGTGGTTACCTAGGGTCTGGAGCAGGCAGAGGGGTACAACTCGGGGACGTGCTAACAGATAATGATGTTTGTCAGGTAACACAACTTCCTTAAATTGATTATGGTGATGGTTGCATGACTGTAAATACTAGAAACCATGTACTTCAAATGGCTTGTCTGGCGTGAGGATTATATTTCAATAGCTATTAAAATAAAAAAAGGTTGGTAGGAAAGAAACACACATATTCCCAAAGTGGAGCTGATTTTTGACTTTCAAAGCAAAGATTTGCAGGGTATGGAGGTGGACACCTGTAATTCCAGCTATTCAGGCAGGAGAGCAGGAGGATCAAGAGTTGGAGGCCACTGGTGGAGTGGCTCAACTGGTAAAAAGTGCCTGCCTAAATGGAAATAATTCTTTTTTTGTTTTTGTTTTTGGCAGCACTGGGGTGTGAATTCAGGGCCTCTTGCTTGCTAAGTAGGCACTCTGCCAGCATTTTTTATAGGTTTGTAATACTTTCGATCAGCAGCAAGGAAAGATAAAGAAAATCTGTAGTGATTTGAATTTGAACTTTTACATATTAAAGCTCCAGAATGAGCCACGATCTTTTACTTATTTTATTTTATTTTGTTTTGCAGTACTGGGGTTTGAACTCAGGACCTCATGCTTGCTAGACAGGCACTCTACCACCTTGAGTCACTCCACCACCCCCTTTATTTTTTTTGAGACAGGGTTCTGTGAACTATTTGCCTCCTGAGTTAGGATTACAGCTGTGAGGCACTGGTATTGGGTATTTTTGAGATAGGGTCTAACTTTTGTTGCCCAAGCTGGCCTCAAACTGTGATCCTCCTGATCTCTGCCACCAGAGTATATGGGATTACAGGAGTGAGCATCAGTGCTCAGCTTGACACATGATCTTGAGATACACTCAAAATGACCTAATTTCTGGACTAAGGAAGAAAACTGTTTTCAGCTATTAGACTTACCACTCGACCGAAGTATTCATCTAAAACTTCCACAAAATTGTGGATGAATTCGTAAATAGCCATCTCATTCTGCAAAAGAATAGGAAGGGTACAATTAATTTTAGTGTGGCTCTCATGTAAGCGAGACAGAATGCCCAATAGCTCCCAGGGGTAAGAGCACGTGGCTCAGTGACACAGTTAGTGGTAGATGACACGAGCAACGCAGCTTTGGCTTTGCACAGATGAACACTCAGAACAGGACCACTGCTCACTTTTTTACAGCAGCTTGATACTGCATGCAATGTAGAAAACCTTAACTTCTGAGTCGTTTTGTTTTGTTTGTTTTTTTAGTCCATGATGAATCTGGCCAAACTGAAACCTCAGAATCTAGTGTGTAGAGTTCTGAGCTTTACTCCTTGACTTCATCACCAGCTGGCTTAAGCAATTTTTGAGGTTCTTCCCCCACCCCTTAGTTATTTTTAAAATAGGGTCTCACTTCATAACTGGGCTAGCCTGACTGCAATCCTCGTATTTGCACTTCCCACATAGCTGGGGTGACAGGCATGCACCACCATGCCCAGCTGTTGGTTAAGAAGGGGTTCCACTTTTTGCCCAGGCTGGCCTTGAACTGTGATCCTCCTGATCTCAGCCTCCTGAGGAGCCAAGATTACAGGTTCTTTAACATCATCATTTTACTATGTGCGCAGATGGGGAAACCACTTGAAAGTGGTTCAAGGATAAAACCAGCCCGCTGAGATTTCAGAGACTTTAGATCTGAAATATCTTTTCAGGGATTGCTTGGCTACGTGTGCTGTTGGGCAGAGACTGACCTTTCTGCAGAGGTGAACTACATCTGAGGGGATGTAAACAAAACACAACCACATGTACAGTTTTCTCTGACTTTTGCTATGTCAGCCCATGCTCACTGTCATGCCTGACCAGCCTCTATGCTCCTCTGACCTGCCCCTCCATGTGACAGAACAATGGCAGGCACTCTCACTTCTTAGGATGAAGGAAGGCATTCTAATGGGTGTGGTGGCACTAGAAGCATCCTAGATAGTTCTCTTCCATTTGGCTTTCCAAGTCTTGATTAAAAACTGAGACCCCACCGGGTGCCAGTGGCTCACACTTGTAATCTTAGCTACTTGGGAGGCTGAGGTCAGAAGGATCTTGGTTTGAGGCCAGCCCAAGGAAACAATTTACAAGACCCCCATTTCCAAAACAACCAGAGCAAAATGGACTGGAGGTGTGGCTAAAGTAGTAGAACACTTGCCTAGTAAGTGCAAAGCCTTGAGTTCAAGCCCCATGCTGCAAAAAAAGAAAAAGAAAAACAGACCATTACCCCTAGTTATCTGTGTCATCCAGGGGCTGTTCTAATCTCACCTCTGTGTCATTAACTCCAACCACGATGAAGAGAGCTGCATACTGTCGACAGATCAGCTTGAAATCCTTGTACTCGATGAAAGAGCACTAGGCAAAACAAAATTCGACGTTAATGTCTTTGGTGGACAGACGCTTCTTCAAAATGGCATGCATAATTTCTAGGTTCTGGTTAAGCAGCTGCAAACACACTCCTAGAAACAGAGCGTGAACATGTTACACGACCTTTGTTGGCCTGGCAATGTCTGGGGGACTAGGCGGAAGCATGTCTGGGGCCTGGATAGTAGCTTTGGAAAGTCTTGGTGAGCAAATGGGTTGGTTCCCACTCCTTTTATTCCCTTTCTTGGCTCTGTGAGGAGCTCAGCAAGCAAAGTGAATGAGTAATGAGTGCTTTAAACTGCTTCAATGTGCAAATACAAACTCAATAAAGATTTTCTTCTTTCTACCTCCTCAAGGATTCTTGGGAAGTAATTAGATATCCTCAGTTTTGTACTGTTTCATAGTCATTGAGGAGCCTAATACAAGTAGCATACCATCTATTTATCTATCTATCACTGTGTGTACAAACATAATTATAAATACAATATATATACATATATGTATTTCTTTTTTCTAAGTGAAAACAATCAATGTAGATTTTTGTTTTTGAGACAGGGTGTCACTAGGTAGCCCAGGCTGGCCTTGAATTCTCATCCTCCTGCCTCGAATTCAGGGCATGCACCCCCATGTCAGGCTCATGTAGATTGTCTTATAAATTATTTACAGATGGCTTTTTTTGTGGCAGATGCTAGACAAAATCTCCCATTGTAAATATCGCTTCACATGAATTAATAAGTAGCTCACCACCACTGTCTCAGGGATAAAACAACTCCCTTCTCATTCATCTCTCTCCTAAAGCCACTGTACAAAGGGCCGTGGGAAGGCGGGAATTACAACAGGTGGTTGAAGGACCAGTGTGACTCCTTTGGATGTCAGGATATGTGTGACTGAGCGTGAACTTTATGGATTCTTTTGTTTTTGTTATTTTGGGGTACTGGGGTTTGAACCCAGGGCCCACATGTTGAACACTCCACCAGCCCTTTTTAGCAGTGGTTTTTTTTCAAGATAGGGTCTTATGAACGATTTGCCCTAGGCTGGCTTCAAACCTGATTCTTCTGATCTCTGCCTTCTGAGTAGCTAGGATTATAGGCGTCAGCCACGGGTTCCAGCAATGACTTTTTTTTTTAAATTAGCTTATACTAATAGTCCCAGGGTGGTCCACTGTGATAATTTCACAGGTGCAGACAGTGCACTTTGAACAAGTTCACATCTGCTATTATATTCTTTTAGCCCTCTTCCCCCTCCCTACTTTTTCAAACAGTTTATGATTTTTTGCAGTGGTACACGTGGCTCTTGGGTGCCTGGATACACACCTGGGAATGAAGCTGCAAGTTCTAATTATGGAAATTCTTCTACAGTGAAACCACTTGGCAGTCTGTAATAGAGGGCTTGAGGGCTTCTATTCTTTTTTCTTTTTTTTAACAGTACTGGGGTTTGAACTCAGGGCTTTGTACTTGCTAGGCAAGCACTCTACTGCTTGAGCCCCCAGACTCACCCATCCCTTTTTTTTTTGAGGACCATTCTACAGCTTTTGGCTCACTGGAGGGCCAGTGTGACTTCTGCCCAGTTGGATCATTCAAGGAAATACAACCTACTTGAAGGAACTGAGCAAAGTTTTTAGTCTCTCAGGAGTTTCTGATATTTTTTTAAAAGCATTGAGGTACTTTTGTGGATGAAATTAAAACTAAGCTGATAATATGATACTTTGGTACCTGATTATGCCAGAAGCCCAGTAGGTTCCTTTAAAACTCTACAGTAATTTAGAATGTCTCAAAAATATCTACCAATACGTGGGCGCCTGTGGCTCACACCTGTTGAGGCAGAGACCAGAGGATTGTGGTTTGAAGCCAGCCTGGGCAAATATTTCCCGAGGCCCTATCTCGAAAAAGCCCATCACAAAAAAAGGGCTGGTGGAGTGACTCAAGCGGTAAGAGCACCTGCCTAGCAAGTGTGAGGCCCTGAGTTCAAACCCCAGTACCGCCAAAAAAACCAAACCAAACCAAACCAAAAACCCAAAAAACTACAAGTATATTTATTCTAAAGCTTGTATTTCAAAGGATAAACTGTCAGTGAAAAAGATGCTTGAAATTGAGGAAGGAATGTGCGTTCTGTAGAAAGATTCAAACAGGCATGTTTTATGTGCTTTTTTTTTTTTACTTAAAGCATGTAGCTATTAACACAGCCCTGTGAAGCAGGGTACCAGGCCACATGAGTAATTCAAAGAGGAACTCTGAGATAGTCCAACTGGAAAATCAATGTAGTGTAGAGGCTAAGGGAAACACGTCTGTAGCATGTAACTTCTGAGCTCAGCTATAGTTGTATTTTACGATTCAGCAGGGGTTCCCACAGGGAGCCTTTGACACATGCAGTGAAGTGGAGAGCTGGGCTGAGGAAATGAGTGGACAATTTCAACAAGCTTTCGATTTTACTTTTGTTGATTGACTTCCAGTGGACTTGAGATTTAGGACCTGGATTAAATCATTCTCCAAATAAAGTTTTTTGTATAAATGGACTAGTTAAAAAACTTACATTTATGGGCGGGAGTGTAGCTTAGTGAGATAGCATGTGCTTAGTGTGTCCCCGCCCCACCAAAAGATTCCTACCTATTATCTAATGATTTGATTTTAGCCTCCAAATTTTGGCAGGATAGATAGATTTGTTGTTTTATGTGAATTTGCAACTTCTGTTTCCCCTATCTAAGTAATAAAAATAAAGAAAGTTCAAATCATTTGTTTTGTTTTTCAATCACTTGTTATCATACTATGTTGGTGGTTACTTTTATAAAAAAAATATGAAAAGCTGCTTCCTGAATGAGAATTATTATTATCCGCTGGCACAAAATGGGTCTTGGGTATTCATTCACCTCTATGCCAGTCATCTGACCTTCATTTTTTGGCTTACCAGAAGGCCACCTGCTCCAGCACTGCTAGGCATTCCAAGGCTGAATTCATATGAACAAAAAAAGAAGATTATATCTGCTAGCAGGATTAAATTTAGCTGCTGCTTCTATGGTGTACTGAGCCCTAAATAAGAACCCAGGACTTCCCCTGGTTTTTCTTGCTTTTATTCTCTTAGGGGAGATGTTAGGAGAGCCATGCTTCCTTTGGCATCCATTTCACATCATTGCTTATTTTCCTTAATAACTGTTAAAGGAATACAGCTCAGAGAAGAGGATGGTCCCTGAGACTCAGTAATAACAGATCTGGCAGGGCTGAGTTGACTGCAGAGATGAAACTTACTTGTTCATTGGATCGAGAAAGGCAGCTCTTTATGACCTCTGTTTCCAGAAGTGTGCGCTTATTAATCTCCACGTGTTCATAGTACTTAGAAAGTCGGGTCTGCCCTTGCTTGTTCACCAAAAGGAAAAATTTTATCATTTTTTTCTGGCCAGTGTTTTTCCAAATGTAACTCAAAAGTTATGGCAAGGGATGGCTTTAACTGGAACCTGCAGGGTAAAAGAACACAAGAAAGGCAAGATTAAATGTCTCCAAGAATCGTATTAAGTCTGTTCTGTAGATTAACCAGAAGTAAAGAAAATATCATCTGATAACGTTGGTCTTCAATCCTATGAACAAAATGAAGTGTTGCTGTTGTTGTTTTGTTTGTTTCTTTTGACAGTATTGGGGTTTGAACTCAGGCCCTCGTGCTCTACCATTTGAACCAGCCTCCAGCCCCATAATGAGGTTTTAACAAATAATAACCAAACATAAACTTTCAGTAGCTATCATTCAAAACAATTTTGAGCATTCACAGTACTTCTATTCAACTTATTCACCAATTTTGCTGGGCACCAACTACGTGTCTAGCATCAGAAGAATACAGAGATAAACGTGGTAATCTGCCGGGCGCCGTGGCTTATTTCTGTAACCAGCTACTCAGGAGGTGGAGATCAGGAAGATCACGGCTCACATTCAGCCTAGGCAAATAGTTTGTGAGACCGTATCTCCATAAACCCATCATAAAAAAGAGCTGGTGGAGTGGCTCAATGTGTAGCCCTGAATTCAAATCCCTGCACAGGGAAAAAAATGTGGTAATTTTTGATCTCTGGTTTTCATGCCTAGCAAAGGTACTAAAGAGAAAAACAAGTAACAGCAGTACAAGGTGACAAATTACATCTGGGACAGGTGTACATCCACGCGTGCCCAGAGAGAGGAACAGGGACCACCACAGGAGAGTTAGGAAGGCTTTCCAGAGAAGAAGAAGTCTAGCAACATCTTCAAGAGTGATCTAGGAGAGGTGCTAAGGCAGAAAAGACAGGATATGAAGGCTCTGGAAAGTTCACTATGGCTACAGTTCAGGGGGTAGCAAGAATGGCTGTTAGGAAATGTGATAAAACCAGTTTTAGACTGCGCTAAGGAACCTGAGCTTTAGCTTCTGGGAAATGGAGATGAGATCTATAAGGAGGATCTTTTCTTTCCTTAGTGGTAAAAAACAGTAGTAGTAATATGAACTAATATCAAATTCCTCTAACAAGTCTTAGGCTAAGCAGTCTATAAATATTATTTAATTCTCACAATGCTTTTTTTTTTGGTGGTACTGGAGTTTAAACTCAGAACTTCATGCTAGCTAGGCAGGCACTCTTACCACTTGAGCTACTCCACCAGCCCCTTTTTGTGATGAGTTTTTTTTAGAGAGTCTCCCAAACTATTTGCCCAACCTGGCTTCAACTCTCCGTCCTTCTGATCTCTGCCGCCTGAGTAGCTAGGATTATAGGCATGAGCCACTAGTGCCGGCTAATTCTCACAATTCTTTAAGGCAGGTTCTTCTGATGTTGTTATTTCAAAAGTAAGCAAAGTGAAATTTAGGGATGTCTAGACACCCAAAGTCACTGAATTACTTTGTGTGAGAGTGGGCTGTCCCTCAGAGGTAAGTATACTAACTCATCCTCATCATTCAGGACTTCAGGCTTGTGATTTCATTTCTACTTGGCTGTACTGGATCTCAGGCTTGTTCCTCTTGCACTCAATACAAATTTTGAAGTAATAAATGCAAATGACCACCACACTGATCAATGGCTGGCCCTTCATTCAACATGAGTATGAGATGGTTTATTAGCTCATCCCGAGTATCACATCGTACTTTGTATCAACTGTGAAAGTCAGGGCAGAAGACTGGGGTTAACATAGTTTTTATGGAAGGGATGAATTCAAATATGATATATTTGATACATTGTAAGAACCACTGTAACTGCTACAATGTACCCCCACCTAGCATAACAATAATAAAAATAAATAAAATTAAATTAAAAATAGTTTTTAAATGAGGCTTTAAAATTTGGAATACTTTTATTACAGTTAGAGAAAAATTGCAAAGACAGCCACTGCTAGCGCCTCACTCACATTATCGTGATATGTTTGCCAAAACTAAGAAACTAATACTGGTGCATTATTACTAACTCAACTCCACACTATATTTTCCCAATAATGTCCTCTTTTTGTGCCAGCATCCCACAGTACAGTTACAGTACACAGTACAGTTAACTGTCATGTCTCTTTTGTTTCTTCTGGTCTGTAACAGTTTCTCAGTCTTTGCTTTTCATGACCTTGACAGTCTTAAGCATATTGGCCAAGTGTCCTGTAGAATGTCCAACCTACGTGAGTCTGATGCTTTTCTTTTCTTTTTTTTAATTTTTCTTTTGGCAGTACTGGGGTTTGAACTCAGGACCCTGTACTTGTGAGGTAGAAGCTCTACCACTTGAGCCATGCCTCCATCACTGATGTTTTTCTTATGAATACTCTTTTGAAAAAAATACCACAGAAGTGAAGTGACCTCCTCCCATCATATCAGAGGGTTCATGATAGCCACTGACATCACTGGTGATATTAAAGGTAATAATACTTGAGTTATCTTCCTTAAGAACATTAGATAGCTTTAATACTCATGCTTGCCTTGCCACACAGAAAACAGGCTGAACTTTTTTTTACTTATGTTAAATATTGTAAACACTAATATTTATTTATTACATAAATCCCTAGTGAAGTCTTACTGTGTGCTGTCAAGCAATCCATGAAATCTATTGTCTTCCTAAATAATATAAATGCATTAAAGACTAGGGTGTGGCTCAAGCAGTCAAGCCCTCAGCCTAGCAAGTATGAGGCCCTGAGTTCAAAGTCCGTATTAGGACAAAATATAAACCCCTAGAAGAACATAAAGAAAGCTAATGAACCTTTTCCAAAAAAATGTGCAAATAGGTACATACTTAAATGTTGTAAAACCCACCTCAGGAAATCTTTAGATTATCCTGAGGTTCAAGTGGAGAACCCTGAGCAGGATAGGATTTTTTATAAGTTTCCTTAAAAATTAACCGACTTCCAGGATTTTTTTTTTTTTGTATTATGTCTTTTCAATCACTTTATCACTACAAAGGCATACTGTATTTCTATGCAGAATAAATGACTGAAATGGTATAGAATGAAACTAGCCTACAGATCAATCTGAATTCCTTGTGAAAATCCGATTTTGATGTATACTTAGTATTTGTCCACAAATACTGGCTGTCACCTTTAGCAGCTGCAATTACAGGGCTCAGTTTCCCAATCTGCTGCCTAGGAGATGACAAAGAAGGAAGATCACTGCAGGGCATGGTTCCCTCGAGGTCACAGCAATCCCTGCAACAGCTGGTTGGAAGGTGTGTATTAAGAGTCAATTTGCGGAGGGGGGGGGTAAAGGGGAGAGGGAGGGGGTGGAGTGGGTGGCAAGGGAGGGGGTGAGGCAGGGGGGAGAAATGACCCAAGCCTTGTATGCACATATGAATGAAAAAAAAAAAAAGAGAGTCAATTTGCAACACTCAGCTGTCAGACACCAGGCTGAGGGTGACTTATCATGGTTTGATCTAGTTTTGGTCTATTTGAGCCTAAAACATTATCTGTTTTGATGAGGCACCCCTGTCTGTTCAACAGTGGAGTTAAAGGGCTGTGGTGTGGCTCAGGTGGTAAAGTGCCTGATTAGCATGTGTGAGTTCAAGCCCTAGTACCACCCCCACCCCCCCCAAAAAAAAAAACCAAGAAACAAAACCCAGAGTGGAGGTAAGACTCCATGGTAAGATAAGCCCTAAGGAAAAAAGTGGACTGCGTGGAAGAACAGTGCCTGTGGTGAGTGAGCAGTTCTTGAGACTAATTAGGAGCTGGTAAAGTACAAAGGCTGAGGTACACTGTCATAGAGAGTAGGTCTGGTTAGCTGCAGGCTACACAAAGTAGCTAAGTCAAGCTGGACACGAACGAGTCAAGTATTTCTCTCGTGGGGGATTTTGTTTGCTTGAGAAGATAGGAGAATGTGTCACCTAAAAACTTGAACTTGCAAAAGACAGACCTGGCTCCAGTCTTGGCTTTGCCCCACACCTGCCACGTAACTCCAAGTTGCTTGGTCTTTCTGAACCCTAGTCACACAGCTATCAATGAGGTATGAGAGCCAGAGGAAGTCAGCAAATGTTCTGGTCACTTAGCATAAGCCAAGTATTCATGCTACAGCTGAGCTGTTATCATGACTTCCTTGATGTAACTAGAAATAATATTATGGGTTAATACTTGGACCAAGTTTTGTATTAATATTTTTTGTTTCCCAGTTCATCTCTTATTTCTCAAGCGCTATCAGACAGGTGGTTACCTCACAATTCCAAACACTATACTATAAAGAGCCAGGCCAAGTGTGACAAGCCCTGGGGTTGCAGCGGTCACTCACTGTGCAGAACAAGATGTTATCTAGACCATCTCAGCCAGGGATAGGACAGCTGGGCTGTGGGGGTAGCCTGTGGTCACTCATTCCATCTTCCAGGAAGATAACCTCACTGCTGTGGGTGGAATTGCAACACACTCTGTGGTGTTTAATCATCTCATATTAAGTATTACTTTTATTCTCTTTATAAATTATTGCCAGTAAATTACAGCAGATGACCAAAAAATTAAAATTGTTATCCTGTCTTTTTTTTTTCCCTTTTGACAAAGTTGTTTTAAAACCAAGTTTATGACAGTTAGAAATGACAATCTTGTAACTTGGATTTCAACTGTCACCAAAAAAAGAAGGAAAAATACTGTTTCAAAAGTTTCCAGGTCTAAGTTTTTGCTTTTAAATGCCCTGGTTGCAGTAAGTGGTAAAGTGAGATGTAAAAAGGTCCCACTAAGATGTCATATCAAGGGATCGAGTTGGTTTCCACCTTACAGGCACAGCATTCCTTCTTACTGACTTCACCAGCAAGAGTGATAAACAAGGACTTGTATGTCGGGGCAGCTGTCATCCTACCTACTCAGGAGGCAGAGATCAGGAGGATCGTGGTTCAAAGCCAGCCTGGGGCAAATAGTGCACAAGACCCTATCTCAAAAAAACCTATCACAAAAAAGGGCTGGTGGAGTGGCTCAAGCGGTAAAAATGCCTGTGGCCCTGAGTTCAAATCCCAGTGCTGCCAAAAAAACCAAATAAACCCAAAATAAAACAAAAACAAGGACATTGACT